ACTATCTCTCTCTCTCTCTCTCCCTCCCCCCTCTATCTCTCTCCCCCTCACACACACACAAACCCACTGCCACGTGATTCTATAAAGTGTATTCTGTCGATTTACTTCGTATGCTGTTGTTTCTGTATGTCTGTGATATTTCCAGTTAACACTTGCTAAAATGTATTAAAGGTTTGTACAATTTATAGATAAGAGGTTTTAAATAAACTCCTTGTTTATGCTGTTTTTAATAACATTAAATATAAAAGTATTACAGTGGTGAAAGTTTAAACAAAATCTGGTACAGTTTTGCTATTGAAACAACTGGAGAATTAGCTGCTAGATCATGCCCAGAAGTATTACCAAAATTGTTAGTTTATACATTACATGTCTTCAAGTTATTGATCTATAGATTTATCTATTACTATCTAGCATTTTAAAGTATTTTCAGCTACCATTTATGATATTTAAAAAGTTTTAGTTATATTTTGCCAGTAGAAAATTTAACTTAAAAGTTTTGTACAGTAAAGCAGTTTGAAGCTAACATTTATACATGTCAATATATGGCAATATATCTGTACAGTATATAGGTTACGGCTTGTATTGAGTAGAGATGGAGTGTGTTGTCCGCAGTGCGGGGAGTGCGGGTCGCCCGGGCAAGACCTTGATGCTATAAATTTTCACGCTTCCCGTAACTCCATTTAGCCTCGACTCCTGCAGATAATCTTAGAAATATCGCAGTCAAAAATTTGCTATACGAAATATCGACATTTGTACTAAGTCATTTATTACAACTGTTTGTCTGTATTAATTAATTGTTTAGTAAGTAGTTGTAGGAGGGTTTTAAGCAAGTTACATAATAATTCTAATATTAGCTCTAAACGTTTATAAGTTAATCACGCTATCACTGTTCCAAGATTTATCGGTAAATAAGGGTAACAGCGATCAGACCAATGTGTATCGTTCAACTGGTATGTCGACAAAGTGACACGACGGTCAACTGGTATGTAGACAAAGTGACTCGACGGTCAACTGGTATGTAGACAAAGTGACACGACGGTCAACTGGTATGTCGACAAAGTGACACGACGGTCAAATGGTGGCTACATTGTGTATATTAATTATAAAGTTTATAAAAAATGTAGTCTTCATGAAAATCTGAGATTCAATGTTATTATGAATAAAGATATTTCTTAGTTTTGTTCAATAAATCTACCCAAGAATGTGATTAAATAATTATATGCAGTTAAAATTGTAAAAGATAGTTCAAAGATATTCCTATTGGATTTTTAAAGGAACCCAGACATAATTGATGCTAAGTGTGTGATACTGGGAAAGTGCTTTTACCTTCCCAGTATCCAACGTGCAAAAGTTTTGATTTTATTTTTCAACTTTTTACCAAACACTCAGAATGCACTTATTGCACAGTATACCCAAGGGGGTAGTTATGTTTCTAGGACTGGAGGGAGTCAAGGGTGCTTCATTCCCACCTAGACACGAGACCAGTCGATAAGTGTTGTAGAGCATCATGCACACGCTCTGTCCTTGAATGATGCTTCGTGTCAAACTTACTGATAAGGTGTCACCTGAAGACTGCTTACACTCAATGTGAAGTAAAATCAAAACTATGAGGGGAGCTTGGCAAAGTGCCGGATTCCTACGTGAGTCTACTAACAACTGGAAAAACAATTCGTATTTGGTGTTGTTGAGATTAACTGTTGCTATGGGAAAGGATTAAAAACCACCACAAAGATGTTATTGATTAGTTTCATCGTGTATTTATATTTATCCAATACTACGTAAAAAGAAGAGGTGGTTTCTTTAAGTATGTATCTCTGTCTGTATTTTTGTTCCAAATGAACTACTAACTGAACTAATTGGGTTGAGAGTTTACTCCAAGGTAGATTTGAACTGATCATACGTGGGGGGAACTGATACATTGTTCCTTCCCTATAATCATGGGCTGCACAGTATTTTCAGGTGAAGCTTTTGGAAGTAAGCATAGATTGGTCTCAGTGGTAATTAAGACGTAAACAACAGTAGCATTTACATGAAACAAAATTAGTGATTTGAAGTGTTTAACGTTCTTCTAGAACTTAATGACGTACACTACGAAACACAAGTCACATTCCTTTCTAAATGCCTAAAAGTGAACAAACTGGTACAAATCAAAACTAACCTAATGGATTCATATAGACACAACTAATTAAAAACATAATCTACAATTCAGCAAACTGAAATCCAACCAAATACCCTGAACAAATCCAATACCAAATCTGGAAAACTTTAAATAGTAAGCAAATTCAAATCCAACCAAGAAATTACCAAACTTCTTACATCAAAAGTCTAGGCATAAAAACAAGCGTTGAACGGTAAACTGGTAGTAAGGAAGGGTACGGTAGTAATGTTGATGGGTGCTACTACATCCGCATGACAGGCTGCGGTGGCTGCTGGCTAGACGACGGGATCGATGGAGGGGTGGGAGTTGGGGGAGGCAGCCAGTCCGCTCCCCGCTCATTCACTGCAGTTTCCGGATCTGCTATCTGAAACACCATTAATTGATGATCTGTCTTCGCCGATTCCTGAAAAATTGATTTCTCACCGACTACACCAGTGGCACTTTTTAATGAAATGTTGTTATAGGTACAGCTCCTAGTTGTTTGTGAATATACCGTGGATTGGACCCGTCCCTCCTGCATCAGAGTATCATTGTGCTAAACATTAATATAATAAATATTTTTAGATAGCACTAATAACTTTTCATGTACCAACGTTTTGGTATTTTACTTGCTATTTCCTAATTAGTTTGTCAACTATACGTAGACAAGTGGGGTAGAGTCTTATTGCCTCTATTGTGTCAGGTGGCTGTGTGTGTGTGGGGGGGGGGGGCACACAAGAAAACACACAAGTACCCCCAGGTGTGTGTTATTCTCCCCTCTCCCTCCCCACCACATTGATCTTGTACTGCAGCGTCCCTTGACTCCGCAGACGATTTCATTACGATAAACACGCAATATTTTAGACGATTGTGGAATTATTTTACCTACAACAGATTTTTTAACTAGTTTCAGTTCAGTTCTTAAAATTGAAAAGTTTCTCATAACAGCATTATTTACTTACATAACAACATAGGGTAACTGGCCAATGAGGTTCAAGGATTGGGAGAGAAGAAGTAAAATTGTAATGCTTTGAACTAATCAGCTGTTTACCAATTTAATTGTTAATGAGTGGATATATCCTCTAAAAACTCAAACTCCAAAATTTTGACAAAAACAATACTTTCTCCATATATACCTACTATGTAGGGGGAGAAAGTAATAATCCTAAATAATATAAACATAATATTGTGCACTCTAGCACCCAGTGTAACCAACATGAACTAGACACGAAAAACAATTTTCATATATATTACAATGGGGAAAACAAGTCTACTTGTGTTGGTTAGTATTGCAACTGAGCCAATTTGCCTTTTCCAAAGTAGTGAAGGTACAAACAAGCTTCTTGTGTCAATAACAATAAACCTGAGGACATATTTAAACAAGAATATATTGTATTTATAGGGAGGGGATTTTTAAGAAATAAAGTACAGTAAAAATCAAAACAATTAATTGTGCTATGAGCTGATACAAGATGTCTCATAACATGAAACACAATATTGCAAGATGAGAGCACTTATCAACTTAAGGGTGCATCACACATTGCATTTCACCCCTGCCAGACTATGTGGGGTGGAATGCTTCACCCCCCTCAGACTGCTGCATTCTGCATTCCAACTCAAGTTTGTATCAACAAGATAGTGAGGGGGATAGGGAATTGAAAAGGAAGCAATTTGCATCACCCTAGTTGATAACAAATTCAATAGAAAAAAATATTTACAGGTTTGTGTGGTAGGTTATATCATGGACTTTAGGATTACTCATAGGCTATATACTGAATTTATTTAAAGAATTTCAAATTAATGCAAAAAAATAAAGTCTCAGCGATCTGGCACAAACTTTCTCTCATAAACTTGTCAACAATCTTTATCATGCGTAAAGATGGGAGGAACTATTATAATAGGGAATCACAAAAGTTGCAATAACTTTGGAACCGTAATTTTTACAGCAATGGGGGGTTGCACTATTTTGTTTACAATAATTTTAAGGACCATAGCAAACTAATTTTAACCAAAACCGGCTTTTTTTAGAAAATCAGATTTTCTGTTATTTAATGAGTTTTTTTTCTTGGGAAAATACCATAAGTTATAATACGTTTTGAACTTTAAGTTTTATAGCAATGGGAGTTATACCATTTTGTTCAGAGTTTAAAGGGCTATAACATATTGAAATTCAATCAAAATCGTTCAGGCAATTTTCGAGAAAATAATGATTTTTCTGTTAATTGGGTTTTTATGGGAAAATCACTATTAAAAATCAAAATTTCCTGAGAGGATCAAATGCACTATCAAATTTATTTTTTCCGATGATTAAACATTTTTTTTATATATAGAGTTGTAAAAATGTAGTGCTATGTTAAATAGTGCTTAATCTTAACAACAGGTTAAACATCTAAACCTAATAAAATATAATCTCGTCGGTATAAAATTGCTTGGGGGAGACACCAGGCACACAACATAACAGAAATTACCTGCACTACGGGGGTAATGCTGTAGTAACTGGTGCTTTACGACTCTGTCTGGACATAAAACTGTTAAAGGTGCTCAGGAAATTTATGACAAGGAAGCTGAGTGTTTTCTCTTACAAAACAAAGCCTAAACAATTCCTCAGCATATTTTTGTCTTTATTTTCCCCATCAAAGACAATCAACATTAATGTTTAATCTTGATTTGCTTTAGAACTTTGTAATGCATTAATGTTTATGGTACATTACTTATTCATATGTTAATTGATCAAAATTATTCTACGTAATTGCTTACCATCTTATGTAGTGTGTCATTATTTAAATGACAAAGGAAGGGAGGAATTGAGGATATAGAGAGGAATTGTTGTGATAAATAAATGCACAAACTTGTTAGAGGGTTACTCTAAGTTATATGGTTTGGTAAATTAATTTTATTAGAAAATGAACAACTGTTTCTCACTTTTAATTAAATTACTTTTTGTAGAAGTGAGGAACTTTGGCTTCGGCCTCACAGTATGCTCCTTGGGATGATAGCACAAAAGGTAGTATGCCCTTAGTTCTTACGTAGAATGTGCCAGTTACCCTGAAACAAAAATTGAAATAAAAATCACTTAGAAAAAATACAAAAAGACCTCAGTTCTGAGTGGGCCTGAAAATAAATGACAACAAAAGAAAACTTGTCAGATTTGGAAGGGGAGCAGAGAACGAGGAGAACATAACAGAAATAGAACAACTTTATGAACAAGTTGAGTCTTTTAAATATTTAGGACTTATTGTCAGCTCGCAAAGTTAGGAACACATAGAAAAAATTACAGAATTAACCTAGCCAGTAGAAGTATGTATGCTCTAAACAAATTATTATCATCAAGATTATTGTTTTATCACACTAAACTTAAAATCTACAAAACTATCACAAGACCTGTCCTTATGGGTTATGGATAAAAATACAGAGATAAAACTATTACTTTTGAAAACAAAGACCAACGCAAAATCTATGGCCCTAAAGAAGGAGATGTATGGAGAATTAAACATAATTAGGAACTAAAAGACCTGTTCAAGGAGCCAGATATAATCACAGAGGCTAAAAGCAGGAGTCTTCGCTGGAAGGGCCACATCATTAGAAGAGAGGAAACAAGAACATTGTATTAAATATGGAAAAGCGATCCACTGGGGAGAAGACCACGAGGGAGATCAAGGAAATGCTGGACGGATGAATTAAAGAAAGATATGGCCAGGATGGAAGTCAATTAAGATACCGCAAGAGACAGGACGACGTGGAGGCAGTGTGTTGGTGAGGCCAAGTACCACTTGAAGTAAAATGGCCATGGGAGTAAGAGTAAGTAAGTACTGAGTTCTACTTTTGACTATTACCACAGAAAACGTACAGCAACACTGGTGGCGCTGCCTACGAACTGACAGGAAAAGCTCTCTCAAAGTACTTAATGCTTTTTACCATGCGGTTGGCATTTTGGGTTATAGTAGTATGTTTTCTGTGCTATTACTTACCTACAAATTTCTGTTGATATCACTTACAATGATACTATTTATAGCCATCCACAGTTTGAATTTTTTCATAAAGTATGAACATAAGCACTGTTGGGTAGCTCAGAGCTCAGGACTCGACTCCGGTGCTTGGAGCCCCAATTCAAATCACAAAGATTTGCCATCCAATAATGCCATGATTTATTGGACCAGAGCCCAATTTAATATTTAAATTAACTAAGTAAAAATACCCCCGCCGCAGCAAACCTGCAGACTAAGCGAATTTCCATATACACAGCTGGAATTCCACTAAATTGTTCCCTTAAAATTGTCAGATTTATTTCCTATTTAAACATCATTAATACTAATGAGTACTGCTACAGGGAAGAAAATAGGGGGGTTTTATTGAAATATTAATAGCTCAGTATGAAGTAAACAAAATTTCATTAATATATGTCCATACACAAGCAAGGTACAACACTGTATTTATTCTCCATAAGAATAACATGGTAATTTTAAATTTACATTATTTTGCAATTTTTCCGTAACCGTTATTCATGCAACAATGCTTCAATATACTAAATTATTTGTTTTTTTAAGCTCTACAAAATGGTTTAGAAAGAAATTGCAAAATTGTATGTTTTCAGGGTGAAAAATTAGAAAAACCCATTTTTACCCCATAAAACCCCCCATAAACCCCTGTTCCCATAGTCCGATCATGCTGGTTCGCGAACTCGTTCGAATAAATGTAGGTTTACACGTTTATACCAAATTTCATCAAAATCGGATCCGTTTTGCTCGAGTTATCGCGCTAACGGACACATATATAAATATATATATAAATATATATATATATAAATATATATATATATATGAATTTGAACGGATGGTGTTTTTGGCCTCTGGGGACCTCAAAACGAAAAACTAAATCGGTCCCGGGTCCAGGTCTTACCATGAGACCTACGGTAATAGCTTATTCCCTATATGGGAAATTCGCTAATATTCCCTATATGGGAAATTCGCTAAAAGGTATGTACTTTAAGTAAATTAAATTTAAATTTAAAAAAAGCTTTACTTTTTTCATTTTTTACATGCTTACAATGTTTAATATTTAACAGCTAAAACTAGGTTATTATTAAATAACAAAATTTATAATGAGTCTAGGCTCAGTGAAGATGGCTGGTTCAATTCCAAGCGTGATATCTTTCTGGACCCAAAAGCCAATTGTCAATGTGCTATCACTTAATGGTGCTGTCTAACAAAAAGGTCCACTTTAGATAGTCAAAAGACCAGAATTTGGAAAGTTACTTGATTGAAAAACTTTATAAAATGGCAACAGCATGGAAACAAAATAAAAAGTATTGGTAAACGGTAAATATATTGAGCATCTACTTGGTACAGGATTTTTTAATGTCTCAGTATCAACCTATGGCAGTTGAAAACCATATTTGATCTATCTTAATCTTGTTTCATCATACAATGATTTTTTAAATAGATTCTTCTTTGTAAAAGAATATTTCATTTTCTTCCATAAAACATGTTAATTACATTACAATCTATGTTTAGTATGGTCCTTGAAATTGGTAGTCGTGTAGAGACTACCTCTTCAGGAGAGCGTGGCAGATGTATAAAGTAGTCCCTGAGATAAAAATATATAATGCTGAAACCGATTAACTTACTCTTCATTCACTGGGAAAGAAACGACGAGCAGAGGGTTAGCCGGGTCGGAGCATTTACATTGGTTGAAGTCTTCCCAACTGTCACACCTCCTGGCCACTACGCTGCCTGTGGCTACTAGACTGAGCAGAAACACAGCAACAGACCTACGATGACTGCAGCCGACTCCTTCTGAAATGCACAATGAGTAGAGGGTTAGTCGGGTCAGAGTATTTACTTAGAGTATGTACTTGTTTTGATTTGTTTTTATAATAATAAAAACAATAACAACCAAATCAAAACAAATACATATACTAATTTGACAGTTACAATCAGGTGATCTTTTGTTTGCAATCCGAGTGACGTCAGAATATGTGGGAATAGCACACCTAATGTTTTTTCCTTCCACCATGCAGCATATGTGCAAAACAATTTTTTTTCAGAACAAAAGTGTAATAATTTGTCACAATCACAGGTGACAACAATGATGTGACAGTCCAGCCTCCCAGGTCAAGTTTTTTTAGTACCATTATGGCATGTGGAATTTATACAGACACAAACATCATGAGCTCAAAAATGAAAACACAAGCAAATACATTTAACGTTTAAAATAGGCTCCAAACGTTTAAATAAAATGTAAGTACCAGTATCCCTGATCTTATTTTGCTTTGAAAGAAATATTTGGAAAATAACTGATAGACCAGGACATCAAGTCTTGTTTTCTGAGAAGTCACCACTGATCAAAACAGAGTTTAAAACTTACTGTTAACTTGCTTGCCACAGCCAGGCTGGAAGTAGCCATTGTTGATCACAATGTCCACGGTTCCAATGCGAGCCTGCGTCCCAGTCAACTTGCCACTGGTATGAAACATGTGTACAAACATGGCGTCCTCCTTGGAAACTGGCTTGAAGTAAGGGTTGTCATGGTTGTACTGAAATGCATCCAGACCTGAAAAAATATCTCATTAACGGTTTCAGAAATCCTACTTCTTTGCCTTATTTTCTTCTTGACTTCTTTGCTACATAGGTTAGAATATTTTTTCAGTGTATTGATTTGATTTTTACTTGTTGTAGTTGGTTTTTTTTTTTTGTCCTAGGACGCTAGGCACGAGCCTGGGATTGTTTTTCACATTACTTCAGGCTAGACCTAGGGGTTGCGGCATTATCACTTAGATAAAATCCATTGGTGACTTGGCGGGGATCGAACCCGGGACCTCAGGGACTGAAGTCCCGCGCTCTAACCACTACGCCAGCTCGCTCCCCATACTGTAGTTGGTTGGAAAAATAGATTCATTTATATAACTACCAACCGACATTAATAGTTGACAATGTTCATTCACTGACCAAATAGTGGACTAGACTCCAATTCTGAACTGTGTCTTAGAGGAAATGTACACAGATGGCTGAGGTGTTGAAAACAAAATTAAAGCTACAAATTCTCCAAATAAAACATTGCAGCTCACACCTTGATACCAGCATATTTTAAGAATACTGAATAAGTAGACTGACTAAATACTACCAAGCTGTAAACTAAACTACATGGTAATGAGCGGCTTTAGTGAAACTGTATGTCAACAAGAGTTCACTAGATGTGGGTACCAGCTGACTTAAATATCCAAAAGTCTGGCACCAGCTAGTTGACTATATCTGACCTTTGTCTGGAGCTAAGTTTTTCAACATATCAGTACTGAACAGTGGCGTAAATAGAACATGGCTTTGGGGGGGGATGGATGAGCACCAAGCTTGCACTCATCGTGTGTACCGGGGGGTCCGGGGGGTATGGAATACCCCCCAGCAAAGCGGGGGGCACGGGGGTCCTCCCCCGGAAAATTTTGAAAAATTAAAACTCCAAACTCGCCTTTTTAAGCATTCCAGAGGTGAAATCATGTTCAAAATTACTCCAAAAATCAACCCAATTGAGGCTGTCTCTTCTGAGGTTCATATGAACTTACCAAAGACAGTTGAACAGAATTAACATGCTCATTTGCATGTACAGGAGGAGAACAGAACAGTCATCTAATTTCCTGGTTTTAAACATGTCCAATATTAAAAACTGGTCCTTTCTTTTGACCAACATCGTTCAGCAAGATTAAAACAAATACACATAGGCTAATTAATTGATTAACAATTTTAAAATATACACTCTTGAATTCAAAACTTGAAATACACTTTGAAATTTTCCCCCATTTTTCGGCGAGTACAGTTTGCCATTTAGCTGTCGGTAAAATGGCACCCGGCGACCTGTACCATTGACTTAAGATACTCGCCATTCGACCGCAAAAATTAACTTTTTTATTATTGATTTTTAAATTAATTTGGTTAAATGTTTTGTGCTCAGTTTCAGTGCCTGAGGTCTGAGGTAAAAACCAGTCTAGTTAAACTGAGGGTGATGAACTTATTGACGACAGTTGAGGTTGGACCGAATTAAGAGGTTCAGGAGGGGAACAGTCGTCCAATTTTCTGGTTTTGAATAGGTCCGTTATTAGACACTGGCCCTTTTTTTTGGCCGACATATTGTGGTTTAAACAAATACAGATAGGCTAATTGATTCACTTCACTTAAACATCTTAATACACAGAACCAGAACTAATGCACAATCGCTAAAAATACTGAAAAATCGACTACTAAATAACAGCTCAATAACACACTGATTAGTGGAACGGAGTTAACGGACTACGACTACGGAGTCGTGGCCCGTGGGTGTCAGGGTGGGGTGGGGTGAGTTATTTTTAGAAACACGTGCCCCTCCTCCTCCTCAACCCTCCCCCACCCGTCAACAGCGCACTGCGCGTCTACGCCATCGGTACGGCGCGGTGGTGGGGGTGTTACGATCGGGAAGTGTTTATGTGTGAGTCCAACGGCATAGGCAATCCAGGACTAACTAGAACGCAAGCGCACAACTTGTAGCTATTGCTACTTCCTTTCCTTTTGTTAATTTAAAT